CAAACATTGGTTGTTTTATCATACATAAATACTAAATTAATAAAAAATAATTAAATATGGTAAAATTGTATAACAATTCGTGCGAGTCATATTCTAGTATAAATAATTAGAGAATTTTCTTTCTATTTAGAGTGTCCACATAGGCAATATTATTTTTAAAAACATTTAAACTTTAAAACTTTCATTTAATACGTAGTAAATCATATTTATTCGTTTTTTTATAACTAATAAAAAAAATTAGAATAAAAACGTGAAATAATAAGTAAATGAATAAAAAAAAATTAATAAATTTAAGACTACAAAAAATAGATATCTCATATATTAAAAACCTAAAAAATGTGCTTATGATTTGTAGTTAAAACATTTAGTAAAAATCATATAACTTAACCATAATTCTAAGATGTTCGAAGAAAAAAATATTCTTTATATTATTTTTAAGATCTATATATTTCATGAAATATGAAATGTCTATATTTTATTAAAAGATTTGTACCTCAATAAAACAAAAATCTGACATTCATTTAACTTCATTTTGTTTAACCACACATTTAACTTCAAACATTATCTTAACTCCTTTATTTTTCAACTTATTTGAAAGACCAACATTTAAAATATAATATCATAAAATCTCAAATATTTTTCTACCAAAATCAAAATATATATAAATTCACTAGACGAAGATAAATGACAAAAGAAAATGAGAAGTAATCATACTATAAATATAGATTAGAAAATGATTGATAAATTTTATCATGACATATATATAATGTAAACAAAAAATTAGTTGATCATGATAAATCATCTAAGCAAATCATGGTTTATTTTTGTTTAGTGACAAAGCATATAGATCATGTACTTTTCTACTTCAATTTTAACAAATTTTTCTAATTTATATAAAATTTGAATAATTTGTTTTCCAAGCGAAACATAAGTAAAATATAAGCCAAATACAAAATAAATTTAAGCAAACAAAAATACAAAGGCTTAATGTTTTGATGATTTTTATTAACAAAAAAAAGAAAGCTTAATTAAGATATAATGAGATATTTACATTTAAAGATATTGAAATAAATAACATTTTTATATGTTTTGATCATTTTTTACACATAAAATTATAAATGGCATTAACATATGCTTGATAATAAATATTCAATTTTATTATATTTATGCATAAAACGTATCCTTTTTTACGTTTGTAGATATTAAAAATCATATAATTTGTCTTACACATTTAAATATTAAAAGAAATATATGTTAAAATCCATTAATTAACATAATTATTTATTCCGCGCTTGGGCGCGGGTCAAAATCTAGTTTTAAGAATTACAATACAACGTCGTTTGAGATTTAAAATTTTATTTACCAAAAAATATATAAGGAGTCAGAAATATAGGCCAGTCAATTTTCAATAACTAGATTTTATGAATTTCCCATGGAAGTTTTATACCGTCTTTGGAGAGTCCATGCATTTTATGTGATTTAGTAACATTTCTGAAAGATTTATTCATTTTGAACAAAGATCCAAATATACAGTTAAAAGATTTGTTTCTTTTTGTATCGTTCCGAGATAATATTTCTTTCCACATACAAAATATAAATTATTATTCTTCTTCGTTTTATCATCGTTACCGTTGAAATTTTGTTATATAATAACTTCACTTTTCATTTCACATTTCAGCTTCTCTTTTAATCTTTTAATCTCTTGTGGTATTGCGAAGCGAATCTGATCTCTCTGCTTTTTAGCAATGTAGCTTCGAAAGCTACCAAGACACCATTTATGTCCATTCACACAAACATTTTTATAGAGAATGCGGTATATATGGCACGGTAGATTTCATATTTGGTGACGCATCAGTTGTGCGAACCAGAAAATCACATATACCGCTCAAGGTCGGGTAGATTCACGTCAACCAACTGGTATTTCTATAATTAATTGCAAGATTTATGCTGCACCGGACTTAGTCCTTGTGAAAGTCAATTTCAAAGCATATTTAGGTCGTCCATGACAACTATTTTCTAGGACGGTTATTATAAACCGTTTATTGACGATTTGGTAGATTCCGCGGGATGGTTGAAGTGGAAATGCGATTTTTCTCTTGAAACGTTATATTATGGAGAGTATATGAATGAATGGCCCAAGTCAAACATGACAAACCGGGTCAAATGGCCTAGTTTTAAGCGTATCAAAAGCGCAGTGGAAGCAACCAAATTCGCTTTTGGTTCATTTGTTGAAAGTAACAAATGGCTTAATTCTACCGGATTTCCCTTTACTCTTGATATATAATCTGTTGTCTGAATTCCCTTTGCTCTAGATATGTAATCTTATCTTCAAGTTTTGGAAAAAGAAATTTGTAACCATCGCATAGGATTGTAAGCATGGGATCAAGTCATTTGAAAGTATATATGTATGTCCTTCCTCTTATAACATTTATGATTCTATTATATTTTAACATGACAATTTAACTTTTGAAGTT